GAGCTTGGAGGTCGCTGCTGTTGCTGCCGCTGCCGCTTCTGGCATTTTTATAAGCATTTATATTTTTGCCATTTAATGACTATGTAGATAATGGTAACCAGAGCTTACAGTAGTAAAACATTTTTAGACTTCTTTCATTTTTTCACATCCATCACTATTTTCTCTCATTGGTAAGTAAAAGAATAATGTGCAATCTCCAGTCTAATTGTGTCTCATCAATATTATTTACTGGTATTTGGTCAGAAGTTAAATTAAGTTTCTAAACCAGTACAATAAATTCATCAAAACAGTTGCCTATGCCATTCTAGTCTGCACTTGCCTTTTTTTCACTGTGACTTTAGCCTTATGAATATCATGGCATTTCCCAAGTCTGTAAAGCCACCCAGAAATGTTATATTGAAGTGCAAGACCCAAACCTTCGTGAGTTACACAACACTGCAGTAGTAGCAGGTGTACTTGCCTATTTGTGGTTTCAGGGGTCAAGTCTCAGAGCCTGGCTCTGCCTTTAACTTGCTACTCTTCAAATTCACTCCCTCTTAGCCTTGTGGGCCCTATCATATCTGCTCTTAAAACTATGTATGGAGCCTGCCTCCACCACTTCCTCACCAAGATCATTTCACCTCCCAACCACTCTTGAAACTGAAGAAATACTTCCTAACATTTCTGTGGCTTATCTGTGACAAACTTCCAGTGGTGTCTCAGAGTTCCCCTTTTCTCATCTTTCAGACAGCCTATTCCTGTCAACCTTATCAATTTCCCTTAGTATTTTGTATGTCATTCTGTCCTCCAGTGTTCAGTCCGGTTCCGTTAGCCTCTCCTTAGCTCATGCCCCATTGCTCAGGAACAAGCCTTGCTGCATATTTCCCACTTTCTTAACATGCTTTTTCAGGTACAGGTACCATATTGGTACTGCATACTCACAGATGGGCCTAATATTATGTTATATAAAGGGCCTGTAAATGACTCTGTTGAGATTCCTGAAGGCTGTGTGTGTGTGTGTGGTATGTGTGTGTGTGTGTGTGGTATGTGTGTGTGTATGTGTGTGGTATGTGTGTGTGTGTGGTGTGTGTACTCACCTAATTGTGGTTGCAGGGGTCAAGAGTCAGCTCTGGCCCTGTCTCTTCACTAAGTGCTACTAGGTCCTCTCTCTCTCTCTCTCGCTGCTCCATGAGCTTTGTCATACCTCATCTTAAAGCTATGTATGGTTCCTGCCTTCACCACCTCACTTGCTGGGCTATTCCACTTCCTGACTACTCTGACTGAAGAAATACTTCCTAACATCCCTTTAACTCATCTGGGTCTTCAGCTTCCAATTGTGACCCCTTGTTTCTGTCCCCCCTCTCTGGAACATCCTATCTCTGTCCACCTTGTCTATTCCACGCAGTATTTTGCACGTCGTTATCATGTCTTCCCTAACCCTCCTGTGGTGTGTGCGTGGTGTGTGTGGTGTATGTGTATGGTGTGTGTGTGTGTACTGGCCTAATTGTACTCACCTGTTTGTGGTTGCAGGGGTCGAGTCATAGCTCTTGGCCCTACCTTTTCACTGATTGCTACCGAGTCCTCTCTCTCTCCCTGCTCCATGAGCTTTATCAAACCTCGTCTTAAAACGTATGTGTGTGCATGGGGGGGAGGGTGGAAGGGGTTAGTAAAAGAGCAAAAAAGTAATAGTTGGTGCAGTAGTGGCCATTAGAAAGGCAGAGTGAATCTTCTTTAAAGGTGGGACTTCTAGTGAAGACTGCTGTTCGAGGGCATCTGGATATAGCAGATGTCAAAAGTGAATTCTGCATACTGTCTGGTAGACAGGACATTCTTTATTAAGATAAGATGAACTGACAGTGTGACCTGGCAGTCCTTGCAGAGGCATTGGATATGTAGTATCTGTATGAGAGGCATGTGTTCAATTTGCAATCATGCAAGCATAATTTCCTATACAAGATAGCTGTGAAAAAATAGCCTTGAACTGAATTGCTGCTTGATGGAAGAAAATTGTTTTACTGCAACCTAAACCAGTGCTGTTGGCAGCAGATTTTAAGCCGAAAGATTATTAGGAAAAATAGTCTGAAAAAGGGGTCATTTGTTAAAATTGAGAGAGTGTAAGTAGTGTACTGAGCAGCTAAATCTGTATGATCATTTCCCTGAACATCAGTGTCCAAGGACCCAGCAAAAGGAAAAAAAAAATAAAATAAAAATAAACTGGCCCTAAAACTAACCAACATCATATCTATTTCAGTTGTAGGTCGTCCATTCTATCAAATGATACCAAGAAACATCCAGTAAAAACCATCCTAGAAAACACCTTTAAAGTCGTTATTTTAAACCTAACACAAGGTCAGAGGTTTGCTTTTCCCATCATGCACTGCATGGACCAGGATTTTATATTCCATGCACACTCACTGCACAGACCCATTCTCTCATAGGCTAAAATTTACAGCTTATCTGAGTGATCCAAGCTCAAACATAGATAAATGTGAGTGACAGTGGTGTCAGAAACATAGGTCTAGACAGTGAAAGGAGTAAGGAGTAGAATTTTACAAAGAAAAATATTGTCATTTATGATTCCCAAGGAGGGAGAAGGGTCATTTGGAATCATTTTGAGAAAGCAGAGATCTCATTCCTTGGCTCAAGATCTTTCACCCCGTCAAAGAACCTCCATGAAAGAAAGTTACCCATGAGTGTGTTCATTGTTTCCTTCACAATTCATGTCCTGGATAATTTTCTTTTCTATCATATTATTGCTACAGAGAGAATTACTTTCCCAGCACCACTTGCAAAACCATTTATATAAGAACTATCAGTGTCCAAGTAGCAATGGCCTTGACACTTATTGGTAAGATATTTCTTATCTTTTTGTTAATATACAGTGGACCCCCGGTTAACGATATTTTTTCACTCCATAAGTATGTTCAGGTGCCAGTACTGACCGAATTTATTCCCATAAGGAATATTGTGAAGTAGATTAGTCCATTTCAGACCCCCAAACATACACGTACAAACGCACTTACATAAATACACTTACATAATTGGTCGCTTTCGGAGGTAATCGTTATGCGGGGGTCCACTGTATATTATACAGAATTGATTTCTCAATACTGTATAGTACCACACATTTGACAGAAGCATTGCTCCTTGTCTTTCCAATATCTGGATCATTTGCACCTCTTATTTAATTACAAGTCTGCTAGCACCTCCACTATTTTCTGGGTTACAAGGCTTTTCTTACTTTCTCACACATGTAGTTCTGTCAGTGAGATTGATGTGTTTATTTATGATATTAAATAGACAATAATGGACTGCATGCAGAATCAGTTTAAAAATGCAGTACAAAAAGTAGAAGTTTTGAACAGCTTGAGTGTAGACAAATTTGAGTTAATGTATGGGCAGGCAATGGCAACACTGGATGAGGAGAGTTCTTAAAGAAATGGTGGCTGAAAAAACTAGACGCACATGTGAATACAGTAGTCCCCCATATCTGCAAGGGATATGTTCCAAAACTACCGTGGATACCAAAAATTTCAGACAGTAGCAAACATTATATATAAATTTTGTATTTGCATACATTTCTCTTTTTTTTAACACATATGCCATTTCCCACCAAGGCAGGTTAACCCAAAAGGAAAGAAAAACCTTTCATCATCATTCAACACTTACACCATCACTCGTACATAATCACTGTCTTTGCAGAGCTCAGATACGACAGTTTAGATGTCCCTTCAAACTGCCAATATCTCAAACTGCTCCTTTGAAGTGCAGGTATTGTACTTCCCATTTCCAGGACTCAAATCTGGCTAACCAGTTTCCCTGAATCCCTTCACAAAATATTACCCTGTTCACACTCCAACAGCTCATCAGGTACCAAAAACCGTTCGTCTCCATTCACTCCTATCTAACATGCTCATGAACCCTTGCTGGAAGTCCGAGCCTCTCGCCCTCATCCTTTTCGCGGATGACCTCTACCCCGCCTTCCTTTCCCTACAGATTTTTACACTCTCCAAGTCATTCTACTTTGTTCCAGTGTGTCTAAATGACCAAACCACCTCAACAGCCCCTCTTCATCCCTCTGATTAATACTTTTAGCAACTCCACACCTCCTCCTAATTTCCAGACTACAAATTCTCTGCACAGCATTTACACCACACATTGCCCTTAGACACAGGACATCTCCACTGCCTCCAGCCACCACCTCGCTGCAGCATTTACAACCCATGCTTCACACCTATGTAAGAGTGTTGGTACCACTATACTCTCATACATTCCCTTCTTTGCCTCCATGGATAACATTTTTTGTCTCCACAGATACCTCAACACACCACTCATACCTATGATAGTTTAATTGATAAATTAAGCCCAATAAGTTTTAGAATTAGCAATTTTTCACTGATGAGAAGCACTCATGGTTTCTCTTAGGCTTTGAAGAACTGCCACCATTGCTACTTTTGCATTCTGGGGCCATCATTAAGCAAATTTAGGGGTTATTTTTGGGCCACGATAAACCATGGTTAACTGAAACCATGGAAACCGAATCTGTGGATATGGGGGTTCTACTGTATATGGTTTAGAAAATGACAAAGTTGATAAATGAGACACTTGCAATATTTTGTCTTTATTCTGGAAATTTTTCCAGGATAACGATACCCAAATGTTGCATAGGTGCACATGCCCTGCTTTTCCTCACTTCCCACATAAACCTACCAGGTTTCTTGCAAGGCAAAGAGGCCAGTGGTTAGATCACATGCCAAGCAGAATACGTACTGGGTATGGGAATGTGTCAGAACTGATGATATATAATTTTTTCAGTACTAAAATAAACATTTGATTCATCAGAGGATAATTGGAATACTGTTACAGTTATTTCCTTCTCGGCTGGTAGCCTTGTTTACTAATACTATAATTTCATTATTCGTGCAGTACAAGATGTTTACTTTTGTGTTCTTTGATATGCTTATAAATTATGTTGCTTTTAAATCAGTGCCTCTTTTTCCTAATGAAGATTCACTTCACAGCTGGTGCTCCTTGACAAGAAGCTGGACCAGATGTTGTTTGTGTGCAATGCCTTGGCACAAAAGACACAACTACCAGAGATCAGAAATTCTGATGATCATGTGTAGTGTAACCAGTCCATACTGTATTACAAACCTAGTCTGCTTAGAAATCCTAGTTTATTTGTAATTTTGTTTTGCTTGGCTGATAGGTTCTTCATTGACTCTCAGTTCATTTAGTAGCTGTGCTCTAATTATCTGAACTTGTATATTCATGGATCCTTCAGAAATAAGAGGTATTGAATTCATATACTGTATCAATACGTATTTGACTACAGAACATTATTTTAATGTTTTGCTGTGGTTTTATATTTTTACTTTCTTTTTAATTTCCTGTACTTTGAGATACATGCTGAAAGATGCCATTTGGAAAAATCAGTTTTTGTGTATTAATTGAAATCTTTCATGTGGTATGAATGGAGTTTCTTTTAAAATATTGTAAGCAGTGAGAGTTTTGTTTCAGGGTTGAATATTGATTTAATTTATGTAGGATTATTTAAACTTACAATTTCAGTTGTAGTGAAATGAGAATCAAGTACATTATTATAGTACGAGTGTGTTACAGTTTAATAAGAAAGCTTGCTTCTCTATATCAAAATTATTTCACACAGCCTATCGCATCTCATTCTAGCTCAACACCTTGACTTAGATTTTCAACTCGTCATTCATGGACAAACAGTGAAAAAATATAGTATGTAAATACTATAAAATATGACATAGTACTTTGAGAGGATCAAAAAATTAACCCATAACTATTGTACATAAAATCTTAAATATTGAATTTAAATTTTAACAAAGAACATACATTCTCAGAGAAGAGAGTAAACATATTTCAGAAAAAAAGGTGCAAGTTTCTCCCTAGAGCTGTTTGAGCATTATCTTTCCCTACCAACTTCTATAATGTTGAGGTGGTTTGGCATGTAGAAAGGATGGGCAGGGATAGGTTGACAAAGAGGATGTACAAATCTGGGGTGGAAGATAGAAGGAAAAGGGATCACCACAAGAATGGTTGAAGGGATGGGGGTACAAGAGACTGAGTTTTAGTGGCTAGATCATCCAGCAGGCTTGTGAGTATGTGAAATAGGGATTAATAGAAACAAGTGGATTGTAATGGACATGCTGTTGGAGTGTGAGCAAGGTAACTTTTATGAAGGATTCAGGAAAACTGGTTAGCTGGCCTTAGAGTCCTGGGGGGTGATGGATGTAGCAGTCAGAGGGGTAATCCGATTGTGATGTTAACACACCTCAAGAAAGATGGTGATTAATTGAACGTATTTTCTTTTTTAATCGCCCTGCCTTAGCAGGAGAGGGCTGTCGTGTTAAAAAAAAGATTAATATGTACAGGTGCTCCTTGACTTACGATGGTTCAACTTGCACTTTGGAGATGAAAGTTTAGATAATTACCCAGCATGAAGGTAGCCAAGCCCATGATGACTCTCTTCAGGTCACTTGTTCTATCTAGGCTGGAATATTGCTGCACACTAACAGCACCTTTCAAGGCAGGTGAAATTGCTGACCTAGAAAATGTACAGAGAACCTTCACGGCGCGCATAACAGAGATAAAACACCTCAATTACTGGGAGCACTTGAGGTTCCTGAACCTGTATTCCCTGGAATGCAGGCGGGAGAGATACATGATTATATACACCTGGAAAATCCTAGAGGGACTAGTACCGAACTTGCGCACGAAAATCACTCACTACGAAAGCAAAAGACTTGGCAGACGATGCAACATCCCCCCAATGAAAAGCAGGGGTGTCACTAGCACGTTAAGAGACCATACAATAAGTGTCAGGGGCCCGAGACTGTTCAACTGCCTCCCGGCATACATAAGGGGGATTACCAACAGACCCCTGGCAGTCTTCAAGCTGGCACTGGACAAGCACCTAAAGTCGGTTCCTGACCAGCTGGGCTGTGGCTCGTATGTTGGTTTGCGTGCAGCCAACAGTAACAGCCTGGTTGATCAGGCTCTGATCCACCAGGAGGCCTGGTCACAGACCGGGCCACGGAGGCGTTGACCTCCGAAACTCTCTCCAGGTAAACTCCAGGTAAACTGGTGTTTAGAGTAATTATCTGTTTATTTACTTATTCATTGACAGTAATTTATTTATTTATTTAATTAGCATATATTCATATTCGATTTATGATAAGTTCATCAGAACATAAACCCATTGTAAGTTGATCAGCATCTGTATATGTATATATGTATGTGTGTGATTATATATATAGAGAGAGAGAGATTTTATATACATGTTGAAGGGTTGTTGAGGTGGTTTAGTCATTTAGAGAGGATGGAGCAAAATAGGATGACTTGGAGGGTGTATAAATCTATAGCAGAGGGGAGGAGGGGTAGGGGTCATCCTAGAAAAGGATGGAGGGAGGAGGGTAAAAAAAGGTTGTGTGAATATGTTAGACAGGAGTGAATGGAGACGAATGATTTTTGGGACTCGACGAGCTATTGAAGTGTGAGGACTCAAGTCTGGTTAGTTGGAATTGAGCCCTGGAGGTGGGAAGTACAATGCCTACACTTTAAAGGAGGGGTTTGGGATATTGGCTATTTGGAGTGACATCTGAACTGTAGTATGGGAGTGCTTTTGCAAAGACAGTGATTATGTGTAAATGATGGAGAAAGTGTTGAATGATGGTGAAACTGTTTCTTTCTTTTTTGGGTCACCCTGCCTTAGTGGGAGACAACCAATGTGTTGGAAATATATATTTCTTCTTTCAACACACTGGCTGTATCCCACCGAGGCGGGGTGCCCCAAAAGGAAAAACGAAAGTTTCTCCTTTTACATTTAGTAATATATACAGGAGAAGGGGTTACTAGCCCCTTGCTCCCGGCATTTTAGTCACCTCTTACAACACGCATGGCTTACGGAGGAAGAATTCTGTTCCATTTCCCCATGGAGGTAAGAGGAAATAAACAAGAACTAGAACGAAAATAGAAGAAAACCTTGAGGGGTGTTTATATATATGCTTCTACATGTACGTGTAATGTGATCTAAGTGTAAGTAGAAGCAGCAAGACGTACCTGAAATCTTGCATGTGTATGAGACAGAAAAAAAGACACCAGCAATCCTACCATCATGTAAAACAATTACAGGCTTCCGTTTTACACTCACTTGGCAGGACGGTAGTACCTCCCTGGGCGGTTGCTGTCTACCAACCTACTGCCTAGAAGGAAATATATATAAATATATACTATATACTATATATATATAATATATTTTTTATTTATTAACACACTGGCCGATTCCCACCAAGGCAGGGTGGCCCGAAAAAGAAAAACTTTCACAATCATTCACTCCATCACTGTCTTGCCAGAAGGGTGCTTTACACTACAGTTTTTAAACTGCAACATTAACACCCCTCCTTCAGAGTGCAGGCACTGTACTTCCCATCTCCAGGACTCAAGTCCGGCCTGCCGGTTTCCCTGAACCCCTTCATAAATGTTACTTTGCTCACACTCCAACAGCACGTCAAGTATTAAAAACCATTCGTCTCCATTCACTCCTATCAAGCACGCTCACGCACGCCTGCTGGAAGTCCAAGCCCCTCGCACACAAAACCTCCTTACCCCCTCCCTCCAACCTTTCCTAGGCCGACCCCTACCCCGCCTTCCTTCCAGTACAGACTGATACACTCTTGAAGTCATTCTGTTTCGCTCCATTCTCTCTACATGTCCCGAACCACCTCAACAACCCTTCCTCAGCCCTCTGGACAACAGTTTTGGTAATCCCGCACCTCTTCCTAACTTCCAAACTACGAATTCTCTGCATTATATTCACACCACACATTGCCCTCAGACATGACATCTCCACTGCCTCCAGCCTTCTCCTCGCTGCAACATTCATCACCCATGCTTCACACCCATATAAGAGTGTTGTTAAAACTATACTCTCATACATTTCCCTCTTTGCCTCCAAGGGCAAAGTTCTTTGTCTCCACAGACTCCTAAGTGCACCACTCACCCTTTTCCCCTCATCAATTCTATGATTCGCCTCATCCTTCATAGACCCATCCGCTGACACGTCCACTCCCAAATATCTGAATACATTCACCTCCTCCATACTCTCTCCCTCCAATCTGATATCCAATCTTTCATCACCTAATATTTTTGTTATCCTCATAACCTTACTCTTTCCTGTATTCACTTTTAATTTTCTTCTTTTGCACACCCTACCAAATTTATATATATATATATATATATTTTTTTTTTTTTTTTTTCAACAAGTCGGCCGTCTCCCACCGAGGCAGGGTGACCCAAAAAAGAAAGAAAATCCCCAAAAAGAAAATACTTTCATCATCATTCAACACTTTCACCACACTCACACATTATCACTGCTTTTGGCAGAGGTGCTCAGAATACAACAGTTAGAAGCATATACGTATAAAGATACACACATATCCCTCCAAACTGCCAATATCCCAAACCCCTCCTTTAGAGTGCAGCATTGTACTTCCCATTTCCAGGACTCAAGTCCGACTATATGAAAATAACCGGTTTCCCTGAATCCCTTCACTAAATATTACCCTGCTCACACTCCAACAGATCGTCAGGTCCCAAGTATCATTCGTCTCCATTCACTCCTATCTAACACGCTCATGCACGCTTGCTGGAAGTCCAAGCCCCTCGCCCACAAAACCTCCTTTACCCCCTCTTTCCAACCCTTTCGAGGACGACCCCTACCCCTCTTTCCTTCCCCTATAGATTTATATGCTTTCCATGTCATTCTACTTTGATTCATTCTCTCTAAATGACCAAACCACCTCAACAACCCCTCTTCTGCCCTCTGACTCATGCTTTTATTAACTCCACACCTTCTCCTAATTTCCACACTCCGAATTTTCTGCATAATATTTACACCACACATTGCCCTTAGACAGAACATCTCCACTGCCTCCGTCTCCTCGCTGCTGCATTTACCACCCAAGCTTCACATCCATATAAGAGTGTTGGTACTACTATACTTTCATACACTCCCTTCTTTGCCTCCATAGATAACGTTTTTTGACTCCACATATACCTCAATGCACCACTCACCTTTTTTCCCTCATCAATTCTATGATTAACCTCATCCTTCATAAATCCATCCGCCGACACGTCAACTACCAGGTATCTGAAAACATTCACTTCTTCCATACTCCTCCTCCCCAATTTGATTTCCAATTTTTCTTTATCTAAATCATTTGATACCCTCATCACCTTATTCTTTTCTATGTTCACTTTCAACTTTCTACCTTTACACACATTCCCAAACTCATCCACTAACCTTTGCAATTTTTCTTTAGAATCTCCCATAAGCACAGTATCATCAGCAAAAAGTAACTGTGTCAATTCCCATTTTGAATTTGATTTCCCATAATTTAATCCCACCCCTCTCCCGAACACCCTAGCATTTACTTCTTTTACAACCCCATCTATAAATATATTAAACAACCATTGTGACATTACACATCCCTGTCTAAGACCTACTTTTACCGGGAAGTATTCTCCCTCTCTTCTACACACCCTAACCTGAGCCTCACTATCCTCATAAAAACTCTTTACAGCATTTAATAACTTACCACCTATTCCATATACTTGCAACATCTTCCACATTGCTCCTCTATCCACTGTATCATATGCCTTTTCTAAATCCATAAATGCAATAAAAACTTCCCTACCTTTATCTAAATACTGTTCACATATATGCTTCAATGTAAACACTTGATCTACACATCCCCTACCCACTCTGAAGCCTCCTTGCTCATCCGCAATTCTACATTCTGTCTTACCTCTAATTCTTTCAATTATAACCCTACCGTATACTTTTCCTGGTATACTCAGTAAACTTATTCCTCTATAATTTTTACAATCTCTTTTGTCCCCTTTCCCTTTATATAAAGGGACTATACATGCTCTCCGGCAATCCCTAGGTACCTTCCCCTCTTTCATACATTTATTAAACAAAAGTACCAACCACTCCAACACTATATATCCCTGCTTTTAACATTTCTGTCATGATCCCATCAGTTCCAGCTGCTTTACCCCCTTTCATTCTACGTAATGCCTCACGTACCTCCACCACACTTACATTCTGCTCTTCTTCACTCCTAAAAGATGGTATACCTCCCTGGCCAGTGCATGAAATTACCGCCTCCCTTTCTTCCTCAACATTTAAAAGTTCCTCAAAATATTCTCGCCGTCTACCTAATACCTCCCTCTCCCCATCTACTAACTCCCCTACTCTGTTTTTAACTGACAAATTCATACTTTCCCTAGGCTTTCTTAACTTGTTAACTCACTCCAAAATTTTTTCTTATTTTCATTAAAATTTCTTGACAGTGCCTCTCCCACTCTTTCATCTGCTCTCCTTTTGCACTCTCTCACCACTCTCTTCACCTTTCTTTTACTCTCCATATACTCTGCTCTTCTTATAACACTTCTGCTTTGTAAAAACCTCTCATAAGCTACCTTTTTCTCTTTTATCACACCCTTTACTTCATCATTCCACCAATCACTCCTCTTTCCTCCTGCCCCCACCCTCCTATAACCACAAACTTCTGCCCCACATTCTAATACTGCATTTTTAAAACTATTCCAACCCTCTTCAACCCCCCCACTACTCATCTTTGCACTAGCCCACCTTTCTGCCAGTAGTCACTTATATCTCGCCCGAACTTCCTCCTCCCTTAGTTTATACACTTTCACCTCCCTCTTACTTGTTGTTGCCACCTTCCTCTTTTCCCATCTACCTCTTACTCTAACTGTAGCTACAACTAAATAATGATCCGATATATCAGTTGCCCCTCTATAAACATGTACATCCTGGAGCCTACCCATCAACCTTTTATCCACCAATACATAATCTAACAAACTACTTTCATTACGTGCTACATCATACCTTGTATATTTATTTATCCTCTTTTTCATAAAATATGTATTACTTATTACCAAATTTCTTTATACACATAGCTCAATTAAAGGCTCCCCATTTACATTTACCCCTGGCACCCCAAATTTACCTACTACTCCCTCCATAACATTTTTATCCACTTTAGCATTGAAATCCCCAACCACCATTACTCACACACTTGATTCAAAACTCCCCACGCATTCACTCAACATTTCCCAAAATCTCTCTCTCTCCTCTACACTTCTCTCTTCTCCAGGTGCATACACGCTTATTATAACCCACTTTTCACATCCAGTCTTTATTTTACTCCACATAATCCTTGAATTTATACATTTATATATATATATATATATATATATATATATATATATATATATATATATATATATATATATATATTATTTATTTATTTTACCACGTTGGCTGTCTCCCACCGAGGCAGTGATCCGAAAAAGAAGAAATGCTTCAGAAAGTTCTTTTTACATTTAGTAATTTATACAGGAGAAGGGGCTACTAGTCCCTCACTCCTAGCATTTTATTCACCTCTTATGATATGCATGGCTTATGGAAGAAGGATTCTTCCATTATTTATATTATCTACAGATAACATGACTGCGTTCAGTAAACAAGCCATCATGGATAAGTTCATTAGAACAGAGTTGATGCAGACAAGAAGGTTTACATTTCTAAGCCTAACCAAAATTTAATCTAAGACTGAGCTAGAATAAGTTGGGATAGTGTGATTTTTTGAACTACATACACATGCACAAGTACAGTCATACCCCGCTTTACGTCACTTTGGCTTATGTCAAATTTGCCTTTATGCCCCTTTTCTAGAGTAAATTTCAGTTCAGCGAACATCATTATGTCTAACTTTATGTCACTCAGCAATGTCACCTATGTCATAATAAAAAGACATAATTAAATATATTTTTGAGGAAAAATTGATTTATAACAGAAATTTACAATAAAAGATAAAAAAAGCTAAAAACCAACTTTAAATACAATAAAACACATTAAAAACATAAAAAATGTATACATATACAATCAAATATTTACATCGAAAAATTGTAAACAGATGTCCATGGCAGTGTTGCATGTGGTTCTCATTCAAAACAAGGGCAATGCAATATGTATTTTTGCCCATGCTGCAACCATGTGTTTGTTTTGCCTTTCGCTGTAATTTTTGTGATTATTCCTTTACTTTGTCAGTGTTAGCCATGGGTCCTAATGTGGTTTCAATGGAAGACAAGTTAAATATGATTAAAAGCATGTTTTTCACACTAATTGTAAGGTGTTTTTCATCATACTTAGGGCAGACCACAAGGTAAATAACAAAATTTTTTTGCACATTGTTTCCCGAGTTATTTATGCTAGTTTTACAGTGTTTCATTATTTTAAGGCATTTTTAAAGGATTATGTCTGGTTTACATCAAAAACTGGGTTATGTCATGGCTCTTGGAACCAGTTAATAACGTAGGGCGGGGCATGGCTGTATAGCTACAGCTACTCCCATATTCACATCTACTCCTATACTCACACCTATGCCCACACCTGGCTCTTGGAGCTGGGAGCGGACCAAGCAGCGACCTCTGCAGCCACATATAAGCGAGCACCCGCATGTGCATACACACACACACACACGGCAAATAATGTACTCACTGTGAAATCTGCAGATTAATTAAGTGTACCA